TTGGGTTTCCGAGGCAGTATCACTACGGAAGTAGATTGCCCAACCTTCCTTCTGAGGAGTGGCTGGTGGGTTTGAACCACCAGCCTTCTGGTTAGCCATCAAGTGCCTTAGGTACTACGCTACCAGAGCTCCTAAGTTTAAAGTAATACATAGTAATTGTAGAAAAATAGGAAAATAGGGAAACGTATAAAGAAACCCTATAAACCTTTCCCAAATGATTAATTTCCTTATTTTAGTTAAAGGAAAAAGAGATTTAAAAAAACTAAAAAACTTAAAAAACTTAAAATTTTGTTATAATGTTTTTAGCACCAAAATCATAAAATAAATCAAATATATCTAGGAATTCAGTGAATTTTAATGAAAAAAAAAAAAGATCAAGAGTTCAAAGTTTTGAATTCCAAGTATAGGTTCTTATACCAACAAATTATACTCACTGAACAGTTACTGACCCCATTAATCACCAGTCACCCTGACTATTAAAAATAGCAACCCCCAAAATTTATGATTCTAATAATAACCATCAAAAATCCACTTAAGGTATGAATTTTTCCTTTATGCTACAGACAAAACAAAAATAAACAAAAAACTGAAGCCTATAATCATTTCTTTCTCTCCCATGATAGAGTTAAGCTCTTCAAGGGCAGTAACAGCATTTCCCAGCTGAAAGCCTGGCACGTAATAAGTATTTGCTAAAAAAATTGGCAAATTATCTTTCCAACATCATATACTTAGTGTGATTTCAACTGTCCACAACAATCTGTGGAAGTATAAAATTAATTACTTAAGATGACTTAACATGTGGATTAAAATCTCCTTAGAATCAGCTTATTCAAGGAATAAAATCTTAAAATAAAATGACCTAGTCAACCACGTTGTATTCTACTGAAATAATTTATCTGGCCTTCACATTCAGTTATAATATTTTTGAAACAAGAAAAGATGTCATTACAAAAGAGAAGAAATTCTCTCTCCCTCACATGAACATGTATAGGACTGTATCTGGATCACTCTCTTGGCTTTGCACAGATAATTTGCATTAAAATATCTGTATCCCTTAGTTTCCCTCCTAATAATCTACACTTTTTTGAGAAAAACTACTGAGGGTTAAATATCTTTGAATCCCTCATTACATTTAATGAAATATCTTGCAAGCAAGCTCAATAAAGATTTGTTGAATAGCCACTCTTCCTTTTGATCAAAAATTAAAAGGAATCTATTTGGAAAAAGGGATTCACATTATACCTATCCTGACCAGACAATAAGCAATTCTTATTAGAAAATGAAGTGAGAGACATTTTAAATAGTTACGTCAGATGACACATGAGCTCGAGGCATGTCAGACTTACAAAGTCTAGTACAGAAGTGCTTATGGACTAAGGTGAGTATATGCCGTGCTTCAGTCTTCTGATTTACCTGAAAAAAACACTGAAAAGTTAAAAATAAAGTGTTTTTTCATTATCATTCTTTAAGTATTTCAACAAAAATTAACATACAAATTATACTTTTATTTTTCAACAAAAATTAACATACAAGTTATACTTTTGTTTTATTTTTCAGTACACACTAAATTATATTATAGAGTTCATCTTTAACAGTGTCTTTCATGTCAACATTTCTAAATCAAGTACTGATTTTAAACTTAAAACACAATTTTTAAAGAAATACTGAAACAGCTATCAAAAAAAAAAAAAAAAACCCAAACTCAATGCCATCAAGTTGATTCTGACTCATAGACCCCCAATGGGTTTCCAAAAGCTGTAAATCGTTACGGAATTATATAGCCCCATCTTCCTTCCACGGAGCGGCTGGTAGGTTTGAACTGCTGACCTGGTTAGCAGCCAAATGCCTTATCCACTATACCACCAGATCTCTGTCATTTATTCTTCCATTCTGTCATACATTGGGTTGCCACAAGTCAAGAGTCAACTCAGCAGCAACTAACAACAACATTCTTCCAAAAAAGTACAAAAAGCTCTCCAAAAAAAATTAAAAGATTTTCAACATTATGCAGCTGAACTGTGCTGCCCTAAGGACATATATGCGGTCAGATGTTGCTTGAACAGTTTATGTGGCACATACCCATACTTAATTTAATCTTTGTTAATTCAGAAAAGACCTCAGGATATTAAGAAGACTGCTTAAGGTCGATTTAATAAACAATTCTTGTGGTATTAAAGATGCATAAGAGTATCTTAAACAGGAGAAACAATGTCAAAGTATCAGAGCAAAATAGCAGAATATTACTGAGTATAATAAATCATAATTTCATGATTTCAGTAAAATCTCTTTTGTATTCCATAATAAAAAACCTAAATGTTGAAGCATTTTCAAGGGAAAAAAAAAAAGATTTTAAATAGAATCACTGAGAATGTTAACGGAAAGGAAATATACCAAGAAAGTAATACTCTTTTCCTTGTTTCTTATCTTTGCTGCATCCTGGTAATATATCCAACTCAATGACACTTCAAAACAAAGGCTCTTTAAAAACACATGCTGAAGTCATCTATCTCCCTTTAACCTAGAACTAAAACAATGCTAGAGTTGTATGCTTACTGTGCATATGCCTTAAATCAAAGCATTTCCTGGCTTTGCTTCAACTACTATAAACAGTTCTTTTCCTCTATGACTTTATATATTTATAAAATGACTTAATGTGAGAAACACACTTGGAATAAGTATTTCATTACTTACTGGTTCCTCTTTAACAACTAGACATAAATCACCATCACTGCTCCGAGTACCAAATCCATTCAAAGAGGACCCAACCAAAAAAAGTCTGCTTTCTAGAGAAACAGACAAGAATTATAAGGTATTATCTATAATTAAAAAAAAGGAATATATAAACATGACAGACATGCATAATAAGGAAACATACGTGGAAATAAAAGCTGAATTTCTCTCTGCAGCAGTGTCCGACAAAGTTCTTTCTTCTTTAAATCACTTATTTGCTGCTGACATGCTTCAAATAACTCCAGTACCTGCTGACTCAACTTGAACCCACAGCAAAAAAAAAAAAAAGCAAAAATTCTGTGACTTTTCAGAAATGCAAAAGTAACTACCACACTGACAAGTGTAAATCAATACTACTAACAATATTTAGAAAAGAGATACATAATATCTCCTTGATATTTTATAATACAGAACTACTTTTACTCAAAAACAGACTAGGAATGGCTTGAAAAATTACACATTAATTTTGTAAAGTAAAATATTACTAATAACAGAAAAGTACAGTTATTAAAAAAAAAGCAGTTTGTGTATAGCCTGTGTACTAAGAATGCTTTTCACATTTTTAAAGGGTTATAAAACAAGCAAATATGAACACACAACAGAAACCAAATGTGAGTGCCAAAGTTTACTATCTAGGTCTTTTACAGAAAGTCTGCCTAACCTCTGGTATTCATTCAGATCATGACTACCTAATACAAAGACTTAAAAAAAAACAAAACTGATCTTCTATACTCATACAAATAACTCGCCTCCCCATTAGTACAGTATTGCCCTGAACTCGGTCTTCTTGTTGCCATCTACTTATCTCCCTGTGGCACAGTGCCTAAAGCATTTGACTGCTAACCAGGAGGTTGGTGGTTCAAACCTACAAGCCACTCCATGGAAGGAAGATGGAGCAATATATTTCTGTAAAGATCTACCATCTTAGAAACCTAATGGCAGTCACTATGAGTCCGAACTGACTTGATGGCAGTGGTTTTTAGGTTTTAATCTCCCTATTTATCCACCCATCTGATTCACATTGTTCCTTCTAATCCAACTGTTGCTATAATCATAGATGATTTCCTTATCTACAATAGGATATGTAGCACAACCACACGTTCCCATCATTTCTGGACTTCTTTCACTCTAATATTTTTGATGACTATTCCACACCTGGGAGCTCTGGTAGCACAGTGGCTAAGACACTTGCCTGCTAACCAGAGGGCTGGCGGTTCAAACCCACCAGCCACTCCTCGGAAGGAAGGTTGGGCAATCCTACTTCCGTAGTGATACTGCCTCGGAAACCCAAGGAGGGGTCGCTATGAGTCGGGGCCGACTCGACGGCACATAACAACAACAACAACATTCCACACCTATAACCATAATGTGGTCTTTACAATAAACCGGAGATGCTCTAGTTTTGAAATCTTAAATTCCAATATACTACCTTGGCTTCAATCTCTCCAACTGAGTCCAATTCTCTCTTTCTTACTCCCTTCATACCTGCTCCAAAACCAAAAAAGCCTGGATTGCCTTGAATCTTCCCTTTCTCCCAACCTCTCAGAACCCAAAAGGAGTGATTTCTTTCCTTATCAGTCTATATTCCACACTGCATCCCTGAATCACTCTTTTAACGCTGTAATAACTATCCTGAAAAATCCTAACCACCAACAACAAATAAATCCAAACCACCATTTCTCTGCTTACATCTGAGTTGCAAAGACACACTACTAAATAGAGAAAAGAAAATCAAAATACTAGAGTCTCTCAAATGTATATATAGTCTTCAGCATCATTCAGCAATTAGTTCTATGTCTCTGGTTAGATATTGTTCCCATTCTCACCATCACTACTCCAAAATCTTTACTATTTACCTCAAGCTCACTATACTTAGCTGCTTTCTCTGGCAGATAATTTAGGAACATTAAAGTTTCCTAAGAAAAGTGAGGATATAAAATGGGATACTCCTTAGCCTCCTGATGCCAGGCTTACAAACTAATATACCTGAACAAAATCTCATCCCTTTACCTCTCCTGTCCAAAAATCTGTCTTTTTCCTCTGTTCAAAAATAATCCTTCTGTGTATACTTTTGTATCCAAGCCTTCTGGTCAGCTCAAGGGACATACCTACATCTCTTTTTTTTTTTTTTTTTTTTGCCTTTTTGCTTTTTTGCTTTCTTTTTCCCGGTGATTACATTGCATTTTGATGTGGTCACCCCAACCAGGGTCTATTTTTAGTTTCACATATTTAGAATTTTTTTTTTTTTTTTTTTAGTTTCTCTCCTATATTTTCTACCTCTTCCTCTCTAGTTCCTTCCCATAGTCCATGACCAGGCACAAGTCTAATCCACTGTTCAGTTTTCTTTTATTGTGTTTAGAATACTCAATTTAAGAAGACAGAAGCACTCTGGGCAACTTGTCAATAAAAGAGACATCATTTTTTAATATCACTGGATTCCCCCTCAAAAACAGTGCAACTAGGAGAATAAAACAAATACATTAGAGCAAAACAAACCATGGCCAACAAATACAACACAATTAAATGACTAGGTATCCCCACGTGCATCCCAATATATAAGGAAGTGGGACAAAACATCAATAGCACCAAGATGCCATACTATCAGAAACAGCGTAAGAGAAAAAGATCAAAGAGGAAGAGATTTTGGACAGCCCTAGAGGCTAAACACCCAGAAATCAAATTATCTATAGGTAGTAACTCTCTACAAATTAAGAAACGCAACTCTGTGTAGAACAGCAATCAAAACTGGGTGGGAGTTTCATAGGCTACAATTTACAGGTATATGCATCTGCTCCGTTAGCTGGATTCCTGTATAAAAAACTGAAAAAAACCTTTCAGCAGAGAATACCAAGACCTCATCATTTTCTACAATGTAAGAAAATGCTATTTTTGCCTAAATATTAAGTGCTATCTACAGACTAGAAATACATACTAGCAGTGAGTTTTCAAGATAGGAGAAATAAAATTAAACACAGTCCAGAAAATGGATCATTAGCTCATAATCACTTCAATAAAAACAGGCAATTCCTCAGGATCGCTCATTGCCCTATCTTTGTTACACTGTGCAAAGAGCTGGTATAAATTTACTGAGTAAAATAAAAGTAGATGGGTAATACAAGTTTAAACTCATTCTTAATGCTGAATTCCCTCTCTCTTCAAATTAACTTCTAAAATAAAGTAAAATCATAAAATTGTTGTACTCAAAACAACAACCCACTCCTTGTTAGCCTATTAAATTATTATGTTTTTGCATATGAACATAATGTGGAGCCATATTAATTTGTAAGTTTGCAGAATGAGAAAGCATTTTAAATTACTGATTTTTTTCCCTTGAATTTTGATTGCTTTTAGTTCTACACTATTACTTGAACTTTGCCAAGAAATAATTGCCTAATAAGAGAATGAGGAAAACAAAAAAGACAAGTTTTCACTTGAGGGTTCCTTTTTTCTGAGTCCTGGTTTAGGTGTTTTACATAAATTTTCATCACAGTGGCTTTCATACTTTTTTCATAAACACATACATTAAAAGATATATTTTACATTATGATCCAGTATCCTCTCTCTCTCCACACGTGTACATGGACATATGCACATGAGAAATAGATTACCCAAAATAACATCTATTACATGTGATATACTATGTTTTTCCTTTCAAACCACAAGTTATAATGCCCTTTCTGACTTTGACAATCTTTGTGATCTACAACCTGAAAAACAGTGCCTTATTTTATAGAGCCCTTTAAGGATCAAAGTCTTAAGATCTTAAGACACTTGGGATCTAAGTCTCTACATTGCCAAACTAGTCCTCCTCCAAGGGTGCCAGAAGATTCCATAATATTTGCTCCTTTCCAAAATTAAACATTACACAAGACATTATGAATAATTTATTTATAATTATCCATAGGTAGTCCCCCAAATTGTGACAGGATTCTATTTCAACAACTCTGCTGTAAGTCATTCTGATAAATACATTTTTTAGTTTTCATAGCCTGCTATCTGACAATGTTCTGAACAGTAAATAGTAACACTGAACATCTGCCAGTGAACATCTGAGAATAACATCAGTAAATTGCACTATATATAGTACATATTCCTAACAAAAAGATGTACCAAAAAACAAAACAGTAACAGACAGTTGTAAGTACATCTCATTGTAACGCAAATACTTCATAATTCATGGACAATTGGTATTTTTTTACTCTCAGCAACAAGAAACGATCGATATTTTTTTTACACTCAGCAACAAGAAAACCTCAGTCTAATCTCATCTCAACTCAAAATTCATAATCAATGAAATCAATTCATATAATATTTTCAACCAACCAGAATTTCCAAAGAACATAACAGATGAAATTCAGGAGCTTTGCAAAGATAATTCTGATTCCTCTAGTCATTTTTTTTTTCATCCAGAAAACTATATATTTACCTAAAAGCTAAAGGGAAAGTTAAAATCTGTGAAATTAACTCTAATTTCTGGTTTAAAGACTTTTGTTTATTAACACATCAATGTCTTCAAAAATAGAAAATGGATTAAAACTGAGGGCAAATTTAAACTCAGTTCTCACTTTTACAAAATTACAGTTCTTTAGGTTACAAAACACAGAATAAAGATATTCAAAGATCTTCAAGAAAACTTCAACTGAACTAGATTGTGCCCGGCTACCACTGTCAACCACCCGGAGGGAAATCTATGTAGGAGATCCTTGATAGAGAGGGAAAACAATGTGGAACAAAACTCAAATCATTTGGGAAAGAAAAAAAGAGTGACCAGGTTTGATGCTCTGATAGAGGCTGGTGGAACCACTGAGACTATGGCCCCTAGCTGCTCTTCAGGTCTGGAATTGAACCCACACCTATGGTTTCCAGCCAAACAAAAGACAGGCATATGAGTTGAACATTTACCTGAGGTAGATACACTCC